CCTCCCTCTCCCCCTCCTTCCCTTTTTCTTTCTAAGTTTATTAAATGGGTCTTGGGAAGTTCCATGCTCCAATGGTAACAGCTAAGAAGAGACTGACTCTTGTCGTTTATACATTCTGGGAACTTTAAGTTTCATGTAATAATATCAGAATTATTTAGTGTAGTACTTATATTCTCAAATATATCCCTATTACTACAGAATTTCAGAATAGAGATCACCGTAGGCTTAAATCGGCAGGATAAATTGTATAGGAACTTGGAAAGCAAGAATTCAAATAAGCACTAAAGAGGGGAAGAGTATGAAAGGGAAGACATTTCTAAACACAAACAGCTGACATGGCCAGAGCGGTGCTCACGAACATTAGTCAAATACAATGTAGAAGAAATACATTGAGGCAAAGCAGGAAAAAACCCGATGAGCAGGCCCCAGAGGCTTGGTGTTTGAAGAGCAAGACTTCAACTGCATAGTTACAGCACTGTAGTTTTTAAGTAGACTAAAATAATGGTGGTATTTAGAACGAACTGAAGAAAAAGGGGATTAAAGAAGACAATGAAGCTGGGTGTGGTGGCGCACCTTTAATCCCAGCACTCAGGAGGCAGAGGCAGGCAGATCTCTGTGAGTTCAAGGCCAGCTTGGTCTACATAGTGAGTTCCAGGACAGCTGGGGCTACAGGGAGACCTTGTCTCAAAAGGACCAAAACAAACAAACACACAAACAAAAAACCCCAAAAATACCATGTCTCTGGGCTGGACATGGTCACACATGGTATTAATCCCAGCACTCTAGCAAATATAAAGATCTCAGCACTTAGGAGGCCAAGGTAGGTAAGGTCAAGGCCAGCCTGCTCTACATGGACCAGGAAGCCAGGGCTACCTAGTGAGATCTTGTTTCATAAAACAAACAACAGCAAAACCCCACGTCTCAATCTTCTACTGAGAACGCTAGGTGACAGTAAAAATGTAACATGTAAGAACTATGTGAAGAAGCCCTTTCATTCATGAATAAAGTGCCCAGTGCAGCATGAGGTGGCATATGCAGTGACCTAAAGAAAACAAACTGTTTTAGAGCTTCCTCTAACAGTAACGGTCAGTGGGTGTGTCCTTCCCTTCAAAAATATACCTGTATGCTATTCTCTGAGGTCAGGAGTAATACTAGAAAATAATTCAAACATTAGAACTGAGTAGTACTATCTATCACCAATTGAGTGGAAATTTCAGCATGCCTCAG